ATCTTTATTTTTCCTTGTCCCTACTTGAGGATTTAGGATTATATTATGTGAAGGGATAAGTGTGCTGTTGTGGTGAGAAGAAAAAAAAAAGGGGATGTTTTGGGGATATAAAAATGTTGTTTGGAAATTTGAATAAGGCCATTGAATGAGGCCATTGAAAAAAAAAAGAAAAAAAAAACAAATAAATAAAAGAAGAAAGAAAAAAAAAAGTTTATTTTGTATATAGTTTGCCTTAGTTCGAATAAAGGCTATTTTTGGTTTTTTGTTTGATCTTTATTCTCTTATGGATTGAGAGAATTGATTGAATTTGGGTAGTGGATGGGTTATGTTGATAAGGAGATGAATTGTTGTGGTTCATGTTTTGTAGTTCTAGATGCTCAAGTGTTCGTCACTTTGTCCATATTTTTCCTACCCTAACCAAAGAGCCTATATTACAACCAAATAAAAAGTCCTTTTTGATTCATGAAATGCATGCACTATAAGTGGTGGAGATAGTAGACGATGTGCAAGCTTATGGTAATTCTTTGACATTGAATTGATTTGAGCGATTATTTCCCTATACACTTTCGAGAGTGAGAGTATACACTTATCCGGTGAGATTTGTGGATTGAAAGTATGGACCATGATTTTGATGAAGCATTCTTTTTGTTTAAAGATTTCGGAATTTAGTATGTTATTCGCCTGATGACTATTGATGATGTGTATGACCGACTTTGAAAGTTGTGATTGTTTTTCTTTGTGTGTTGAGAGAGTGAGATGCACTGATCGGGACTTTCAATGGTTTAAGTTTGGGGGTTTGTTCATGTGTGATTTTACACCATATTCATATAGTGTCTTGAGCTTAATTGTTGCATTATTAGTGTATAAATTGCACATTTGTGCTTTAATTTTTTATTTGTTGGAAAGGTATTACACGTGCTTGTTTTGTAGATATTTTCACATATTTGTAGAGCTTTGGCTATTGGAGGAGCATAGTGAGTGCCTGAGACTCCCGGGATAATGATAGATCGATGCACGGATGAAGAGAATGGAAGAAACGAGCGAAACGAGTTGAAAATTAGCGTACAGTGGTGTGACACGACCCGTGACACGGGCTCCGAGGTCGTGTCATCACCCGTGTCATTCAAACAGAGAAGTGTAAGTGCAGAATACCTGACACGACCTGTGACACGACCTGTGACACGGGCATGTCAGGTCGTGTCGCGCGCGCGGACAGTTTTTATTCTCTTGCCTTTTTGGATAAGGAGAGGAGTTTTGGACATTAAAAAGAGCATATTAACCCTATTCTGAGGGAGGAAAAAAAGAGAATACAAGGATAAAGGCTTAGAACACACAAGGGAAGCAATTGAAGAGCAAAAGCAAGATCAACTACGAAGGAATCAAAAAGATTGCAAGATCGACGAGATTCCTAGTTTTTATTTCTTCTTCTCTTTTGAACTTATTTGATCATGTTGATTTCGAATATGTCTATGTGCTTGAATTCGAACATGAGTAGCTAAATTTATTGATTCTAAGACTTGGTAGTAGATTAATATGTTGGGATTTTGGATGATTTATTTATAATTGATTGTTTTTCTTTTGAACCCTATTCAAGTATTTTGTTCTTATTCCATGTTTAGAACTTGATCAATTCTTTTACATGTTTGACAATATTGTTCATAATTCGAGAGATGAGTTTAATATTAGGTCTTTAATGCTTGACATAATTTACTTGCTTGAATCGAGAGATCAGTAGGTAATTGTGAGGATTTTAGATCTTTTAACCTTTTTGGAGTTGAATTGCATGTGTTGAGTGGAGACGCTAATATATGTGATTTAATCTACGGTTTTATCGATCTCGAGAGTGACGATAGGCTAATTTTGTGATCATCTTATAGGGTGGACAAAGAAAATAGTTAATTGTGATATATCTGAAGGAACCCAACTGTTAATTGAACCCATAGTCTTAGAATCTACCATTCCCATATATTCTTCTTAAGTGTTTTTCTAGTTGTTTTCTTGTTATTGATTTCTTTTCTTTTGATTTATTTTTGCTTAGTTTAGTTAATCAATCTCATATTCGGTCGTCTAAAATTGGCACTTTCATTATCTAGTACTTGATTAATTGGTTGTTTGGTCTCTTGGGATACGACCTTGCTTGCCACATACTACGAGCGAAGCCGTACACTTGCGGTCGAGCTTTAAAAATATAGGCGAACAATCAGCTACACCCATATCTTTCATATCGAAATTTCTTTTCAACATTCATTTCGTATCCATGATCACTTCATGGTTACTCCCCATGATCAACATATCGTCTACATATAGGCATACAATTACATATGCATTTGATGTGTTTTTAACATAAACACATTTGTCACATCGTTGATTTTGAACCCATTTGACAACATTACGTCATCAAATTTCAAATGCCATTGTTTCGGAGCTTGTTTAAGTCCGTACAAGCATTTGATCAATTTGCACACCTTTTTCTCTTATCCAGGTGCTACAAAACCTTCGAGTTGTTCCATGTAAATTTCTTCTTCTAAATCACCATTCAAGAATGTCGTTTTGACATTCATTTGATGAATCTCAAGATTGGAAAATGCTACAAGTACATAATAAATGTACATAAAGGTGTACATAACACTCACATAGAGTGGGGTCCACTTGATTTTTTATTTTTAGTGGGTCTCATTCAATGTGAGTGTTATGTACATCACTATGTACAATGTTATGTACTTGTAGCATTACTCATCAATTATAACTTCTAACATAGTAATAGTAATTTTTAATTTTTTATTATATAATCAATTCTAACTTCTAACATAATATCAATAAATTCATAATCCATTTTAATATAATCCATTCTAACCTATAACTTAATAATTTATACTAATATAATTTTTACCTATTATAATTAATTTAATTTTATACTATTAATTTATAATAATTATCCTAAATACTAATATAGTAGTTAATTACACTAATAATTATACTAATTACTATATTAGTATAAATAATTCTATAGTAATTAGTATCATAATTATATTAATTACTATTATAATTTACAATAATTATAAAAATTATATTAGTATATAAAATATTATATTCGTAATTACTATTATAATTTACAATAATTATACTAATTACTATTATAATTTTTAATATATACTATTTTCATATATATATATAGTAATTACAATTTTTTTAATTATAAAATATATAAAATATTAATATAATTTTATTATTAAATTTTTTAATTAATTTTAAAAAATATAAATTAATTTTATTTTAAAAATTTTTAATTTAAAAAAAAAGTGAAAAAAAGATAAAAGTCGGCCGCGCGCGGCCGCGAATGGACCGGCCGGCCGCCTGCGAAAAATTTTGGATACTGGCCGCGATATGAGATACCGGCCGCCTTTAGCGGCCGCAAAGTGGACGGCCGCAGCCAAAAATAGCGGCCACACGAATTGTGGCCGCAGTCGACGCATGTCCCAACCGTATGGCCCCGCAATGGCCGGACGACCGACAGAATTTAAAAAAATATCGTTAAAATTGTAGAAAAAAAATTACTTGTGAATTGGAGAGCCCTTTCCCGGTGCGTGAGGATTGTCCTGCTATTTTTTCTGATTTTTCGAATTTATTTTAAATTTTTTGATTGAGTTTTTTGTTTTTGTTTTTTGATTGGTCAATTTGATTTTTAAGTGTTTGTAAAAGGGCATCAATAAATTTTCTAAGTGTTATAATTTTTTTTTTATGGATTTTTTAATGTAACAAAAATGAATACAAAAAATGAATTTTTTATTATTTTGTAAGTAAAAGATCAAAATTGTCATTTACGGGGAGGCGGAAATATTAACAACTTAGGGCATCTCCAATGGTAATAGCTATTACTTGCTATATAGTTAGCTGACGTGGATGTGAGAGATAAGAAAAATAACTAT